GGAGTTAGGAAAGTCCAATGAAAAGATGCCATAAATCTCTGGTGTTTTGATAGCACAAAGATAAGAAAGGTTAATGGAACTATTAACATTGGGAAACCAAGATCAGTAAGAAGAGCGCTAGGAGGAGAAAACAGGTTTTGAGTTTTAGTGCTTGCATTGTCCCTGCTAGGAAGTACATTACCATTAATCTTTATTAATGCTGACATGCCACCCATTATAATGCCAACGCCAGGGACAAAAAATAACCAGTACCCTTGAGGAAGAGAATGTAAATTGAATTAGTTTAGAAACTTAGCTAAACTACAGGGAATCTGCCAGAGGATGCTTTTTTAAACGATTTGGCTCAAAATACCACTTTGGAACCTGTCTGTATAAATAAAAGGGGGAAGATCAAGCAAGAGGAAACAAAAAAATGGAAAATGAGTTCAACAATTTTCAAAAAAGATTCTGAATTGGATCTGAAGGTGCTGTACTGCTCAGGGAATGACTCCTTTGGACCCAATCATATAGCTTTGGCTTTTTAAGCTAATTTAAGTATCTGATCCAAAGCATATTTAGATGCAAGGATGTACACTAATTACTTGGCGGGGGTGCTTCTTTGTAAGCTTAGAATTGCTGTGTAAGTTTGAAATCCTATGCACATTTATTTAATTAAATTATTTGTTATTGTTTTTATTATTTAAAATTCTATTCTCAAGAGGATCAATCCAGTCTGGAGCTGTATGAAGTCTATATAGCAAAAATGTAACATGAATTTAGTTTTCCTGGGATTTTGTGGATTCATTTGACTTTTTAGCATCACCAAAGATCCTGGGATCTACTTCATTACTAAATGTATTGTGTACCTAACGTGGATTAACACCAATTGTAAGGAATGATGTTTCTGTCTTGCAAAAGGGGTTTTGACAAAGTGCCCATTTGCTCACTTTCAACTATGGTTTTTATTGATAAATAGTTTTTTAAAACCTATAGCATTTTAACTATACCTGAAAATCTATCAGTCTAAATAATTTGAGGGACAATATCAGGAAGAAAATATGGGAAGGTATGAAGATGCCTCCTGATTTATACTGCCGAATCAGAAACATACTCAACATTTTCCATTGTTTCTTAATTAGCTAACAGAAAAGAAGTTGCTTATCATTAGGAATGCAGGTGGAATTTGATATCTGTGAATTCCAAAGTGGACTGACCTGATCCACCTCACCCCAACTAGCATGTGGATTGGAACATAATTGTCCTTCAGACTTCTCTGAATTTTTCCTATACATTTCTCAGCTCAAAAACAGACCACAATGCATATTTTAAAAATGTATCTTTTGTGTTAAAATGTGTTTTTAGAAACACATACTTTGAGATAAAATACATATTTTGTGGGGAAAAATCAAAAGTTAAATATAATTCTCATGGTTTTTTAGAAAGATATATTTTTACAAATTAATGTGTTAACAGGAGAACAGACTTATGAATGAGTACATGCATGCACAATTCACACAGACTGAAAATAGGCTGATCCAGCCATAATCAACACTTAGTATATGCCTCTCTGACCCTGTTTGGTAGCATAAAAATGTAATGCCCCCAAGTGGAATATACCAACACAGCACCTTAAGGCAGTATGAAGAAGAGCAAGGGATCTTTTCTAAGTTCACAAAGCTTTAACCTATGATATTCTGATTAGATCTTTTTAAAAAAATAAATAAAACGTATGTGCATGTAAGGGGGTGGTGCAATGCACTGTCTAAATTATACAGATTCGTTCCTGGAAGCTAATTTGCTTTCTAGCAGTAAAGAAAGCGAAATCCAGGAAATAGAATGAAGTGCTCTTCAAAGGATGACTTGTGTGCACTTGGCAATAAAATGCATCCCTTCTTGAAAATATGCCATAGAGTACGATCATTACTCAGTCCTGTGTGAAAGACGCAGACATTTTTTTGAGAATTACTAGAGTTGGTTCACATAAGCTGTCGCTTGATTCAAATGTGTTGTCTCAGGCACATCCAGACCCTACATTTAAAACACTCTTATCCTACTTTTAACAATCATGACTTTCCTGCAAAGATACCTAGAAACTGTAGTTTTGTCAGGATGCTTGGAGTTGATAGGAGACCATTAACTAACTGCAATCCCCATGTCTCTTTGGCGAAAGCCATGATGCAATAAAAGTGCTTAAAATGTGTAGTGTTGACAGTACCAGTATTCAATGGGACGTTTCATAAAGAAAAGCAAAAGTTGAAATCTGCCACACAGTGCAGGTGTTTCAATAGTTCAGTTATGATTAGATGTTTAAATTAGGAAACTGAAAACCTACAGGTTATATAGATGGATGGTTTGCTTTGACATCAGTGACTGACAGACTCAAAAGAGTATCAAAATTCCTTGGGTTTTCCCCTGACAGACAACTGATATTCATGGATTCCAATATATCTTGCATTTTAGACACATCTGAAAATAATAATTTCTTATGCAGTTTCTTTGGCACCTGGACTACGTACATTACCTCAATGTAACAATTGGTCCATATGGACAACGGATTGCCAGAATGTACTAGTTTCTTAAATGAACACCAGATTTGTGGAGCAGGGAAGGGAATGTAAGGGAGGCTGGGAATGTAAATCTGAATTTGGGACAAACCACAATCCATCATGAGGAGAGATTTTTGCCTCCTACGTTATTTAACAGAGGCAGTGGGAGGGTATTTACACTAGCAACTGGGAACACCTCTACATTCAAAATTCAAGCTGGTTATGTAGACGGAGACTGGATACACATATGGCATCCGTCCCATGTGCTGGGTTGAAACCGGGTGTGTACCTGACTCTGAAGCTCTTGTAGAAAACAGTACCCTGTAAATATCCTTTTTGGCCACAGCAAGCTGTAATGCTGTTTTCCTATATCAGAGGGATGGTATTGCTTGAAAGTGCATATTTTGAAATAAAACCCTTGAGCTGCACAGATAATGGGAGGTACTGCCCCAGGAATTTTAACTTCCGCTCAGAACAGACAAAATGTGTGACTGCTGTCTTTGCATCACATTATATGTTTTATTTTCTGTCAAATAATATTTTTTAGTTTTCCAATTTTTTAACAAATCAATATCAAATCACATCAGATTTAAATTATTTCCCCCCCAAAAAAGTTGGCTTCCAACTCTTTGCCCTAGACGCATCTCTACTTCCCCCCCCCCCCATTGCTGCTTGATATTACATATTTATCTCTAATTCACATTTCATTCCTTATATCAGATTTTATCTTCGGATATATCTTTCCTCAGTGATGTAGATAGGAGACGGCTATGGAAAGGACTGCTCTGTAAAAGGGGAAGGTAGTGATTTTGCAGAGAGAGCCAAGCTCATGGGGAGGGAAGCTGCAATGTGCCCCACATGCCCCCCCCTTTATAGCAATGAGTTCCTGTAGAAGAGTTTTATCAAGCCTGATTGATGTACACAGTGCAGGGAAGGAGGTGAGGCAATACCCATGGCTAGAGTGTTCCCATTGCTGCATATAGCTTAGGCCTGGGATACGCCTAACTAGTTTCTGTATTACTTCATGAGAAGCAGGTCACATGTGCTGCCAAGACCTCTTACCTTTTATTTGGCTAATCAATCCTCCTTCTCTAATAGACAGGCCAGACCTTGCCATGCGGCTCTAGGCTTGATTACTGCAATGTGCCCAACGTGGGGCTACCCTTGACGACTACTATGCAGCTTCAACAGGTACAGATTCCAGTTCTGCGCTTTCTAAGTGGTTTTAAGGATTCACCCATATCCGTTTTGTTCTGTGCCATACATTTTCTGGCAGTCTGCTTCCAGTTCCAGTTCAAGGTACTAGTTTGAACGAGTGCTCGAAACTCCCATTGTTCTAGGTGCATTTTTGCGACAGGGATTTCATTAGCGCAAGCAGTTTCTGAGCTCTGGGTGCAGTACTGTGCCTAAGATTTCAGAGTGGAAGGAAAGGAGGACCCCCTTTCTGCCTCCCCAATTCTAGCTCCTCACTGAAGACTGGAAAAGAGACCTCCTTAAGAATATTAGGGGGGTGGGCAGGGGAAGGACTAGACCATGTGAAAAATGAACATAATATTTTAGCTGCAGTTCTTTCATTTTTAGCTTTGTATTCTTGTTATAAAGAAGCGTGCCTAGACACTCTGTTGCTGCGCCCATAACCTACGTTTAAGATGTCATTTATCTCCTAGCTTTCATATCTCAGTTTCTAACACTGGTTCGAACTTTTCAAGCCTTCCATGACCCCAGTCCCTTGTCTTTCCCTATAAAAGCCCACCTACAGGTTTTCTCATCTGTGCCACCTTTGCAGCAGGCATGGGCAGCTTATATTAAGATTTTTACAGTAGCTGACGCTGGAATATCTTCCCAGTGGAAGGGAAGAAGTTTGCAGGCCTGGACCTTTGAAAAGGCTGTAGGAGTATGTAATCTTTTCCACCAGATTTTTGTCCGGTTTCTGTAGGAACTGTTAACATTTAGAATATTTGGTACTGCTGGTGGTATTTAAGTTCTTTTAAAATGTATTCTTTTGTTGCTATGTAAACTGCTTTGTACATTGGGGAAAGTAGTATAAGAATCATTTAAATAAATATGGTTCAAAAATATTCTTTATAGGGTAATCACTTCTTAAGCAACTTGGCACAGCAATATAGGAGGAGGCAGGATAATGTGGGGGGTAGGAACTCATAGTCCCCAGTATAAGCTTGGGGATCACTTTGACCCACCCCAGCCCACATCAGTTTCGTGGGAAGAGGAAGTTACCCTACATACCAGCTGGCTAAGCCAGTCCTGCCAGTGGGATTGGTGGCAATTGACTCTAGTAATTGCAGCACATTGTATTTCACATGTGCAGCAATGGGATAATTAGACAACATGTTTACTCAGTAATAGAATCATAGAATTGTAGAGTTGTAAGGCGTCCCAAGGGTCATCTAGTCTGCAAGTAGCAAATCACTGCATATATCATATGTAGTAGATATATGGCAAGATGTTTAGAACTCTGTTCATAATAGCTCAGTTGATAAAGCATGATATTCTTCCTTTCAGGGTCATGGGTTCGAGCCCCATGTTGGCCTAAAGATTCCTGCATTGCAGGGGGTTGGACTAGATGACCCTCAGGATCCCTTCCAACTCTTCAATTCTGTGATTCCGTGTCACTAACATGTTCCTCCATTCACTCTCAGGTTCACTTGATGGTCTTATTAAGATAGATGTCTTCTATGGAGTTCCTTAAATATGCCCCATAATCAGACTAAGAGACCTTGGTTCCAGTCCCTATTTAGCCACAGATCTTTTGGAGTTAAAGACAAAAAAAAGTGACTGCTATATTAGCATCAGACTATATTTTCTTTTCAGGGACACATGCAGGCATATATTTTTAAAACACCCATACTGCACCAACTTGAATGCAAACTGAAGGCACTCGGGGGGGGGGGGGTTGACTTATCAGTAATTAGGTCTGTAAGCAATAAAAGCGCATGGTGTTTTTCCAAGTATGAATCATGTCCCCACTGGTATTACTAAAAGCAGGGTTACCCTAGGCTGGGCAGAAAGCTATGCAACAATTATGTTGAAGCACTGGGCATGTGGTTGGCTGTGTGTAAAAGATTTAGTACACTCAGGAACCATAAAACTGACTTTCTTCTAAAGCTTAAGGAATATGTTTCGTAATACACTTAATTATGCCACCCACTTCCCATTATTAGAGTCAGTAACAAAAATTATCATTGGCTTCAAGTTATTTGGCCAATGAAATAGAGCTAGACTGTCCCTCGACTTCGCAGTCCCAGAACACCTGGTAGTTATAACACAGTTCTTACTGGCAGTGGGTGTGGAAGAAGATGTGATTTTTCTAGCCAAGGGCTGGGCCTAGTCTGATCTTCCTCATACCATGGATCGTTTGTATTTTTTCTGTAAAAGAAATAGTACGGTGTCCTATTGCCTCTGAGTCCTCTGGCAGATGGATGGGGACCATGTGGGCTTTCCTTCAGTTCTGAAGTCCCAGGGTAACTAATACATTATCAGGGGTGCCCAAACATTTTTCAAAGAGGGCGAGATTTTACAATTTCTCCCCAAAGAATTTTACCCCAGGACATATACTGCCACAGGGGCCAGATTAAATCAACCGGCTGGCCGGATTAGACCCGCAAAGTGGACTTTGGACATGCCTGGATTAAATGGTAGCTAGAGTTTCAAACATGCTTTGAATTGCTTCTCTTTGCTTCTAGTTTGCTCAACACTCTAGCCACATTTGGCACTGGTTTCTGGATTGCCTTCATGAGTAGACCCACATAGAGTGTGTTGTGTTATGTTTGCTTTTGGTACCTCATTTATTTTATTTGCTTTTTCATTTATTTTACATAAGTCAAACACCATGGGTTTCCTTGGTGGCTGCTCCCAGACTACCTGCCAAAGAAGACCAAGGTAATACTGTCTTTTCCGACTTTCCACTGGTAGGCAAAAGCCTACTTTTTCAGGCTACTGATGCCGATCTGTACAAATTGGCTTCTACTAGTTGTGTTTGTTTATGTGCCTTGTTTTTTATTTGTATTTTATTACACTTCTTTGCATCTATATTATATTAACTGTCACAGTGGGTAAAAAGTCAGGATACAAATGTAACAAATAAACACATTTATAATAATAAATCAGTCTTTGCACCAGTCTTTAATACATTTGCCTTTCTCTTCAATCTGATTTGAATTAGGCCATCTAAAGGGTCTTTCATTATTCCTTGGAATTGTAACACACCAAGCCCAGATGCTTCCAAAACATTTGTGCTCAAATCTGCATGTATTTGTTCAGCGCCTTCCCTTCATTCAGAGTTACAGGGGGGGGGGGGATGTGATGATCTGTTCATTATTTCATTTTATAAATGCAAAGATTACCCAACACCACAGACTGAATAGGAAAGAGACATGACTCAGAGCCACGTGGACTCAAAACAGATGATCAAACTTTCCTTCTGCCAGAAATGCTACCTTTGCTTTGCTGATGTTGCAACTTCTTTCAGAGTACACAGTGGTGATGTATTTCTGAATACCTCCCATTTCTTCCTAACATCTTCTGTTTGCTTCCCTGTCTGCACTAATTAAAGGTGTGCCTTTCTCAGTCACTGACTCGCATGTGTTTGAACAAAGCTATTAAAAGGGAGCTGCTCTGTAGTTTTGAAGGAAAAGTGTGTTTGGTACTGGGAGTTGTCTCTTTGAGACAGTTCTTCACCCTCAAGTTCAGTATCTGAAACCCCTTCCAAATGGTGTGAGCCACTTTACATATTTAGTGAAAAGTGTAGGGTTAGTGATGGTGATAGAGTCATTCTCTTCTTCTATCACCATCACTCACCAGGTCCTCAGCACAAGAAACTCTTCTTGTATTTGTACTGAGTGTTTGTTTGTTTATTTAAGACCATATCTAAACCTCTTCATATTAAAAATCTCTACACAGTCTCCAATAAATCCCAAATGTACAATAAAACCAGCCATATAAGTCACTAAAAACATCATAGAAAAACACAAATGCAATACACCATCATAAAGTCCAAAAGGACAGGGCCCACCTTTAGGGAAGCTCGAAAAAAGAGGAAACACAAAACTAATAGCTCTTCTTGCATAGGAAAGGGGAAATGTGATGTTTCTTTGATGTTTTGTTGCTGCTTTTATTTCCATTTCACTTGCTTCCAAATAAGAGAGCATATGGGCTGCAGTCTTAGTACTTTTGATGAAGGGAGATCTGAGTGATTTTTATTTTTTTTAAGAACCTTATGTATCAAAGAAAGACATATGGGATCATGCTTTTTATTGGTTTTGGTTTTTAATTGCTCGGCACATATTTTCTCTGTTATTTTATCAAATTGCAATATTTCTGTAGCCGTGGGTTAAGTAACTTCCTCTAGGATGCCTGGAACACAGCCGTTTTTTCACCATTATAGGCAGTGCTTTTTTCCTTAAAAAAATGTTTAGGGGTACTCTCATTTTCCTACACATATTTAAATACTGCCCCTCAATGAGGCCAAACTTCCATTCACAAAATGTTTAGGGGTACGTGTGCCCCTGCATCCCCCCAGAAAAAGAGCACTGATTATAGGAACTGCCGAAGGGAAGGGAAGAGGGAGAAAGTTGATGATCTGTGAGAGAATAGAAATACTGAGGAGATTGTGGAGAGGAAGGGAGGGAACCATAAAAGATCACTGAGAAGAAAACAGCCACCACCTTCTTTCCTCACACAAAAGCAGAAGCTCCACTGTAGGAGTGTGTAGCAGAGCATCTCAGGACTGTATTGGGTCCTCTCACTGTGTTTTCATAGAGCAGAGTCATTCAAACATTAGGTCTCTGGGATCTACTTTGTTGTTTTGGAGTGTGGTTTTTTTTAAACTAAAATCCCACTCCACCAGCTGGAGCCTGGTATAACACTTCAAATTAAAGAATTCTGAGGCCAAGAATTAAGGAATTTGAAGGGCCATGGTTTGTTTGTTTTCTAAAAAACTGATTGGAGCTTACACTCTTCCCACACAAACGCCTCCCTTGGTTAACCAATCCCCACCTGAGCTTTCTTCATTTCAGCAGTGTCAATTATGGGGCAGTGGGGTGTAAGTTTCTTGCTGCTAATGTTAAATAACAGTAACTCACTCAGAGATCTGTCACTCAGAGATCTCTAAGCAATGGTCAGGGATGATGGGAGTTGTAGTCCAACAGTGTCTGAAAAGCCACAGGTTCCCCATCTCTGCTCTGGGTGAAAACATGGTAAAATAAAAGTGTTTGTCTAAAGGCATGAAAACACCACCAATGATGGGGTCAGCCGGGCCTCCCTGGGCACAAAAGCCTGGGTGCCACAATGGAAAAGGCCTTGCTATGTCCTCACGAACCTCAGTTTGTGGTAGGAGGCGGACGATGGCCTCTGCCAAAGACCTGAGCGGAAAGACAGAATCACGTTGCACAAGGCAGTCTTTTGAGTACCTTGGCATGATACCTAGTTTGCTGGGCACGCTATTTGACAACTTAAAGAGAGACAATTGCACTGAGACATAAATGCATGTTCTATCTGTGGTATCACATTACAACTCTTTATTTGAAGCATCCCACTCAGGGTGCTAGCCAGACTTCATCTGGCTTTTCTGGTTCTATTTTTAAACACTGACGTTAGTTTTTCCATACTTATTATCCGCCTTGTTTGTAAATTATCCATTGACTGCAAGATGCCAGGGAGGGATGTTTGCAATGCTTAATAATCTGTTTGTGGCCTGCTAATAACAGCAATCTGGTTAGTTTCTATGAGCTGGCACTCTGCTTATTAGATAGCCTCAGTATTTCCCCTGCTCTCCCAGGGAGAAGTCTCTCATCAATGGGTATGAATCACTGCACATTGTTGTTGTTTTGGAATCTTGTAACTTGGATGCAGAAATTTAGCATATGCTCAGTATACAGTTTCCCCTCTTCCCTCCCCAAGGTATTTTTTTGTTGTTGTTTTGTTTTTTGCAGGATTGTGGCTGAGGTATAGCAGGATCTAGAATATTCATAAAGAGCAGCTCTCCCCTCTCTGGAGGGGTGAGAATCTCAGCTCCCTGCTCAGGGTCCTCTCAGACCAGGAATTGTCTCTGATTCCTGCAAGCAAGCAGCTTGGTAGCCTTGCACTGCCGCCGCCCCCCCCCCCCCCTTTTTAAAGGCAAAACCACCAGATCTTTCACAATTTGCCAGTATTATCCATAGTTTGAGCCTGTTTGTTGTAAGGACCTAGATGTTCCTTTGAATGTAACAATGTTGGGTAATTACAGAGAAATTACACTGCAAGTTTGCTGTAAATCTTTCAGCCTTAGCCTCTTCTGTTTCCCAGATTATGAGGATACTAGCTAGGACTGGACTGCATTGCAAGGTTGTTGTTAACCACTCACTCAGCCTTGACCCCAGCTTCATCTGAGCACAGGGCTACTTTGAGCTACGGGGGTGGGGAGTCTAAACATATATAAATATCAGCGTTGGCATCACCCAAAGTCCATTCAACCTGCAATCAAAGCAGCCTTATAATAACTGGGATCCGCAGCAGCATTGTTTTGTTGTTTGAGTATTTCTGACAAGACCCTCAGTAAGATATATGGTCGTGTGCTTATTTTGCACAATTATTTCGCCTTCCCAAGGCGCTGAATGGACTTGAGGGAACAAGGGAAAGGGAAGAATACATGATAGTGGTAGAGGGGTGCTTGTTTCTGTTCAGCTGCCCTGTCGGCTTCGGGAAGATCTTGTCAGGCTTCCTCAGCCTCTCTCAGCAGGTTCCCGAGGAGGCTGAACGCCACTTAGGGCTGGGCACTGTTGTATATATAGGATGGCGGGGAGAACGGGGAGGGATGGGAAGCAACAACCGCCATCTTGCTTGAGGGCGGCAGTGGCTTAAAGCGTTTAGAAGTCATGCGGCGAGGTGGCCATTTTGGGTGCGGGCAAGCAGAAAGTGGGCGGGGAGTCTCCGACCAATCAGCGGAAAGGAAAAGCCAAAGCGCGGAGAGGGGGGCCCCTGTGGCTCGACTTCCTGCGTGGGCTTCGCGCTTTACACTGGGGTTGCGGTCCGGGCACCGCGCTTAGGAGGAGAACAGCCGCTTCCCTGCCGCTCTCATGCTGCGACCCGACGGCTGCCACTTGCTGCTGCCGCTGCTCTTCCTCCTGGCGCCGGGGCCCGCCGAGGGGAAGGCGGAGGCGGCGGCCGAGAGGCTGAGCCCCTACTTCGGCACCAAGTCCCGCTACGAGGAGCTGCACCCGGAGCTCCTGCGGGACCCGCTGTCGCTCGGGCCGCCGCAGCCCGGCTTCCCGCTGCCGCCGGCTTCCTGCGCCCCGCTGCAGCTCGGCGCCGTCTTCCGCCACGGCACCCGCTTCCCGACGCGCAAGCAGATCCAGAAGCTGGGCCGCCTCCACGGACTCGTCCAGGGAAACGCCGGGAAATGCAACGCCAGCGCCGCCTCCCGCCTGGCGCGCTGGACCATGTGGCTCCGGCCGGACATGGACGGCAAGCTGGCCCCGCGGGGGCGCCGCGACATGGAGATGCTGGCCAGGCGCCTCGCCCGCCGCTTCCCCAGCCTCCTGGCCAGGAACCGACGCTTCGCCTTCGTCAGCAGCTCCAAGCACCGGTGCCTGGACAGCGCCGCCGCCTTCCGCGAAGGGCTCCGGCAGGCGCTCGACGGCCAGCGGCAGGGCACGCCCCCAAAGCATGGTGAGAGTAACCCCGCATCCTTCCCACTCCCAGCAAGCCGTCCATTCTCTGCTTCATTATAACCTGCATGGGCGTAGCTAGGATTTATGTTAGTGAGGGCGGGGACACCCACCTGTCGTCGTCCTCTGTTTGGCTCTGTCCAGCAGTTTCCGAATGAAATGTCTCAACAACAGGTTTTTTTTATCACTTTCTTTTGACCCCAAGAGTGATTCTACAATTGCTACTTTCAGTTAAGTATTTGGAGGGGCAACTGCCCCCCGCCTCCTACCCCCAGCTATGCCCATGATAGCTGATGGCACTTTGGGGTGTGGTTGCAGAGGTCAGGACCATTTAAAGACCCCAAGGCGGCAATAATGTACCCCACTTACTATTTTTATTATTATGTGCACGTATTAGGCACTTTAGGCAAAGAAAAAGCATCAAAATGAAATGCACCACTTGAAAACAGTTTGGCGCCTGGGATTAAGTGTCATAATTGAATTCAGTAGGACAAGGTTGTCAGTAGAGAAGCCTAGCTTTGCAATATGAGATTCTTCCCCCCCCCCCCAAGCAGATTCGTTAAAACCAAGAGGAAAAGAAGTAAATTAAAACACACCCCATCCACTTCTGAAAGGCCACACAGATAGTTAAAGGCCTAGTTATAGAGGAAAGGTTTTAAGCTGGGAGGCAGTGCATAAAAGGCACCTTCTTGTGTTGCCAGCCTCTGGGACTCTCATGGAAAAATCCTGCAATGTTGATCACAGGGTCTGGGTCAGTTCAAATGGGGAGAGGTAGCCCTGTAGGTATTGCAGTTTTGAACTGTTTAAGGCTTTATAGGTCAAAACCTGCAATTTGAATTGGGCCGGAAACTAATTGGCAGCCAGTGCAGTTGAGCCAGGATTGGTGTTATGTGTTCAAATGGTCTTGCCCTGATGAGCAACCTGGCTGCCAAATGTGAGCCCCACAGATAATATGTTGCAGTAATCTAACCTAGAGGTTGCCAGAGCATAGACAACAGAAGTTAGGTTATCCCTGTCCCTGGGCCACCAGCTGAAGCGGATGGAAGACACTTTGTGCCACCGAGGCCACCTGAGCCTCAAGCGACAGCAAAGGATCCAGAAATACCCGCAAGTTGCATACCTGCTCCTTCAGAGGGAGTGTGTAACCCCATCAAGAGCAGGCAACCTCCCATCCATCGGTTCTAGGGAACTACCCACTAACTGTGTCTCATTCTTATCTGGATTGAGCTTCAGTTTATTGTCTTTCACTGAGTCCATTACGAGGAAAGACATCAATCCAGCACATCCACTACCACACCCTGCAGGTGTAAATGAGAAGCAGAGCTGTGTGCCGTCAGCATATTGCTGACAACATACTCCAAAATGCCAGATAACGCCACTCAGGAGTTTCAGGTAAACAGCACGGTGAGTGAAATCGAACCCTGAGGAACTCCACATTGAAGTCTCATGGAGCTGTACAGCACTCCCTAAGCATCATGCACTGGAAATGACGGTCCAAGTAGGACTGGAACCATTGCAAAGCAGCATCACCCACCCCTAACTTGGACAGCTGCTCCAGAAGGATTTCATGGTTGATGGTATTGAAAGCTGGTGAGAGGTTGAGGAGAATTAACAGGGGCACATCTCCCCTGTCTCCTCTTTCTGTGCCCAAACTAGATCTAAACCCTGATTGAACTTAGGGGGTTGGATAATCATTTAAGGCCCCAGTCCCAGCCCTTTTCTCTTGATAAGGGTTGTTTTTGTCCCCCCTTGTGTGTGGTACTGGTCCCTCTCCTAAAAAAAGAAGACCTGGCCAGAACTTTCAAATTATAGTTAATGTGCTTATCTAATTTCATTCCTGCTCACTGCTCAGCTAACTTAAATAGCAGCCTTTTTTGTTGTGGTTTAACACTTGCAAAATGTTTGAAGGCATGAAGGCAGCCTTTGGACCAATAGTAAGGAAAACTGCACCACTGAAAACCTTTTCTGGAGAGATTATTACAGCAGTAAGCAGGTGAAGCAGGGCACTATTAAGAGTTATAATCACAGGAAGACAACAATTATCTGATACAACAATTTTCAACATCCAGACACTTGACAGCAGAGCTAGGTTCCTCTCCTGCCCTTGGCAAGCTGAGGAATGCCATCAACACTCAGGCATGTGGTAAAGCCCCAGGACAGGTCAGAATCCCAACAGAAGTGCTGAAAGCCGGCCTCAATTTCTCCCTCATAACACACCTCCACAGCCTTCTCTTGCAGTGTTGAAAACAAGGATCCATGCCACAAGACATGTGTCACCACAGTGTCAGGAGCGGATGCCAGGAATAAATCACACAGAGTAAGTCACATTAATTCTTTATTGGAAGAAACAAGGTCTGCTCAGGAGTGCCTGGCCTAATGATCACCATTCAAGGTGGAGGTCTGTTCAACCTGACATGTCTCCACACCAAGACAAAAGTAAATGTTGTTTGCAGATGATGCAGCCTTGACAGCACACTCTTAAGCAAGCTCTGAAAAGACTTGTCAACAGTTGTGTCCAAGCTCGCATGGAGTTCGGCCTCACCACCACCCTGATGAAGATCAACATCTTGGGTCAAGATGTTACCAGCACTCCAGCATCAGCATTGAGGTGGTAGGCAATTTTATCTACGTGGGCTCCACCATAACCAGCAACCTTTCCATCGATGCTGAGCTGGACATGCGCATTGGCAAGGCAGCTACGGCAATGGTTTCCCCCCTGCAAAAGGGTATGGGAGAATGTGATGCTAACAACCAATGTCAAGATGAAGGTCTATTGGGCTTGTGTGTTGAGCAGGCTGCTTTATGGAAGTAAGTTCATGGGTAACTTATACCCACCAGGAGTGATGCCTCAATGCCTTCCATATCCATTGCATCAGGTAGATTTTGGACAGAGTCTCAAATAAAGGTGTGTTCTCCCAAGCCCACATTCCCAGCATGTTCGTAGTTCTGTCTCAGTGACATCTCTGCTGACTTGGTCATGTACACAGAATGGAAGATGACAGGATCCCCAAAAGGGAGCTGTCACTAGACCTGTTGGCAGAATAAGTCTGTGTTACAAAGATGGCTGCCAACATGACACAAAGGCTGGCAACATCAGTCCCGTTGTATGGGAATCCTTTGCAGATGATTGGAGTGCCTGGAGAACGACAGACAGGTTGTGCATTTACAGCAGTGACCAGAGGAGGAATGACCAGTCGGAGGAACGCAGACAGAAGAAACGCCATAGGACACCTGCATCAGTGCAGCCAGACTCCTTCATCTGCCCCAGCTGCAATAAAACATGTCTCTCCCTTATTGGTCTCTACAGCCACAGCAGATGCTTTATCTCTCCCAACGGTTCGACTTTATCCTCAAAGGCACACTCCTACATTGGCTCCTGAGACTGATAGAAACCAGCAACAATTATGATCAGGAACATCTGTTCATTTTCCTTGTGTTCATAATAGCAAGCATTTCTATTTTATTTTTTCATAAAATGCCTTATAGGTTCTGTTTATTCTTCCAGAACAGAACTGGCAAATTATGAATTGTTTCCTAACTTTCCTTAAATGTTTTTATTCATCCTTAAATTGACATCCCCCCCCCTCGCCCTTCTACATTTATCAATATCTATTTGCCATGCTAAGTAAGTTAATGGAAACTGCAAGTTCAGAACTTGCAGTGGCTTAGAATATCAGAAGCTGGATAAAGAGGGTCAACATGTCTGTGTCCTGTTTTATGAGCTTCCCGGAAGCAACTGTTGTATGGAACAGTAGGCTGAATTAGATGGATTTTAAACTAGTTCAGCCAGATTTTTTATTGATCTTTTGCTTACTCAAGCTGTTTTTCCAAAAGCCATACTTACCTGTCAGGGAACTGACATCGGAGCCTGAGGCGGAGGGAAGGCTCTCAAATGATGCTGGAGAAGGGCCAAGCAGGGAGAGAGGCAGTTCAGCAGAGGGGGAAGCAAATCAACGTTACACCAGGGATAAAGGGGGGCAGATGGGGGAATCGGCAAGAGGGCTCCAGGACTCTTCGCTGGACACCAGCGGGGAGAGCACGAGTCCTCCGCTACCCACGCCCTCCCTGCGCAGAAGACTTCCACGCAGGGAGAGTAGGAGGAGACTGGGCGTAAAACAACTTTTATGTTGGAAGAGGTTTAAGAAACGCCCACTGACGGATTCTGCTAGTGACTGAGGCAGCCACGAATTGAAGGGCTGTCCAGACAGAGAGGTTTAACAAGGCAACATAGCCAGGAGAGGCGGCAACTTACGCACGAGCAACCCCATACCCATTATATTACCCATTTTACTTTTTGAGGATTATTTAATAAATCACAGAATTCCTGTACGTTACACGTGTCCGCTTTACCACAGAACCTTTAGATTAAATCTTATTCAACAACAGAAATTAAGCTGAAGTGTATAACTATCATTCTCTAACCTTGATCCTCAAAAGTTAGCCTCACTCTCCCCCCTGCACCCTGGTTAGGTTGGATCTTCAAAAACGTTTGTGCGTGCATTTGCTTTTGTTATTGTATGAAATGACACGTACTGTACAGAGATAGCACTTACTACTAATAATACATGGCAGATATGCTTGCATAGGAACTAACATGATACTCAGTATAGATTGGAAACGTTGGCATTTAAGACATTTCAGGTATGAAATATATTGCAGTATATTTAAACATGCAAAATTTAGTAATATTAAGGAAATTTAAAATGAATAAATAAAGTGAAAATATTTTATGTAAATCACTTCAATGATTAAGCGATACACTAATTGTGTTAAATAAACAAATAACATAAGACACACTGTTGGTAACTGGATAGTACTGCGTATGCCAGCAGTTAAAATTAATCTTGAACCAAAGGCTCCTTGGGTCATATTCAGCGTTTGGGCCATTTGTTCCTCGCTCACGATAAAAACAGTGCATACTGAGAACTGCAACCAACAGATTGAAAAACCAATGTGATTGATGTCAGAGTAGGTTAAATTTACATGAGATTTTCATATTAATTGTTACACAGAAGATAGGCATGTTGAAACACATGAAACATTCCAAGGTAGTGTATTCTGTTTATATGTAGGAACTGGGGGAGAGGAAGGTCAGTCTCAGATTTTTGTGCTGGGATTTCAGGTAGGGGCACTCAGAATGCTAATGAGCTGTAGCACAAAGTTGGGAGATAAGGAATAATGGATGTTCTAAAGGGCATTGAGCAAAATCACTTCCTTAAGTTCCAAGTGCCCAGAAGTGAGGGGTGGTAGTTACTGGGAAGATAATCATAATTTTATGAAGTAGGGAAAGTGCAGAGCTTGGTATTTGGAAAGGATAAAATAAGAGCGGTCCAGGATCATTCAGATGGTTGATTTTAGTGAGACCCTGAATAGTGTCAGGCAGGCCATTGCCTGTGGTGATGTAACTTTATGGTCCCTTGTTTCTAGAATCAAGCCCACAATATTCTTTGCGCAAACCATTTGTCCAGTTTACTTTTAGCAAGGTTTTATGTTAATAGAGGAATTCACAGAACCCTTGGTTTCAGAACCCTTTTGAGAAATTCTCTGCAAAATGCTTTATATAAAAAAGCATATGCCCCCTGTAGTTTACTTGAAGCAACTACCTTTAACTCAGTGTTTGACAGAAGATTATTCAGTTTTAAGAGTGTGTATTTTGCAACGTGCTTGCTTTTGTGAATTTATATTCCACTTTAAAGCAACTTACGACATTTAACAACCTTTTGCCCTTTCATTTTCAGCCACGACGACAGAAGGAATTGAAACCAACGACAAACTGATGAGGTTTTTTGATCTATGTGAAAGATTTGTTAAAGATATAGAAGACAATGATACGGCTATGCATGAGCTGGATGCCTTCAAGGAAGGTCCTGAGATGAAGGAAGTAGTGGGGAAAATTGCAAATACCTTGTGTCTACCAGTGAATGACTTAAACGCAGGTAATGTTCTTTTATCAGCTTCCTACCTGTTCTCAGTTATTATGAAGAGCAAATAAGCAGTAAACATAAACATCTTTTGGAAAAGCTTTAAAGGTTAACTTCTGTTGAACCTGACTGGGGGACATAAAATATTTACCCTTCCCCCCCCCCCCCAGTGCCTTGTTTTCATTTTCATCGCTCTTAGGGACTGGTTCACATAAGTTAAAGTATCTCAGCTGCATGCATTATATGACTCTCACAAGTGCAGAGATGCACACTTGTGACACGCAGAGTGAAAACTGAAGCCTAGTTCATGTTTCTGTGGTAGCCTGGAGAGAGCAGACAGTCGTGCTCCATTGAGACACACTCTTAGAAGTATTGAAGATGCTTGGGAAAATTTGTACGATGAAGTGCGGAATGCAGAAAGGAAATGGCCTATCAACTCTTGCATGCGGTTTTCAGGTAATGGTGCACACATACCTATTTCACTGCTACAGTGCTTTTTCTTTTTTAACTACAAAACATCCACTACCAGCAAGCTCTGTAGCTAGTAACTAACAATATCCATGTCACGAGCCATTATCAACATTGTCTTTTAATAAACTTTATTTTGGTGTGTGGCACAAGCTACTGGTGTCGGCACCCTTTCAAGAACCTCTGTAGGAAGAGCAAGCAACTAAAACTATCTACCACAAGAGCTGCAACTTTTCCAAAATTATACCTAGAAGAAATGTACAACTAGTTCTCTGTGCCCAGCTGATATCTACCGACAGCTGACTGCTGCCAGAGTTGTTTAAAGAACAGCTGGTGGTGAAGCATAGAGGAAGGATGTTTGTGGATGGTTTTCTTTGTAAGTCTGTTTCCCCTGGGTACATGCAGATGTTTGGAGCTGCCTAAAGGGAGTGCTTTGGCTTGTGGTCAAACACTTAAGAAGCATGAGAAACCAACTATCGTGTACAAGTTCTTTGTGGCAACCTTTTCCCCCTTCCTGGGCCACAGGCTAACTTTATTAGATTTTACCAGGAAGAAAGTATTTTCATGAGAAAAGAGAGGACCTCATCTTGCTGTTGTCGTACAAACTTTATGGATCCAGATGGTGATAGTGCTTTTTTTCTGTGGGGGATGCAGGGGTAAGCATACCCCTAAACATTTTGTGAATCTAAGTTTGGCCTCATTGAGGGACAGTATTTCAATATGAGTAGGAAAATGAGAGTACCCCTAAACATATTTTTAGAAGATAAACACTGGTGATAGATATTCCGCATAACTTTGTGAATCCAGATGGCGTTAGGTATTCCGGTCTGCACTAAAAACCCACATGCACCCAGTTTAGTGGGACACAGATGAACAGTGAAATGGGCATCTGGATGTGCATTTGCATTAATTATATGCATTATGGGTCTCCTTTTACTGAATCAGGAAGTATTATTTCATTCTACAGTATTTTATCCTTCCTATCAACCGTTTCAGGTGGTTAACATTCCATTTAAAATACAACAGAAGATCACTAAGCACCAATCAAACACAAAAAGTGGGGGAAAGACATACTTTTATCGGATGAACATAGGTAGTATCATTATTACAGTTCACTACTCCCCAGAGCCACTGCAAACAACTCTATCCTGTTTTTCTTTGTGATAGATAAAGGCAGGTGCATCGATTCAAGTTTTCTAGCAGCATAAAAAGTCCTTTCTGTCTCACTCTTGAATTCATTAGGCAAGGGATTTTGAGCCATAATTGATGGAGGAGGAGCTCTAAGATATGCAGATATAAATGTAATAAAGAAGGTCAATGTCATATGATACAGTATTGACACTTCCGTAACTCCAACTTCTGAAACATCTCTCTCTTGTTACGGAGTGTAACTAAGCATTATCCTGTTACTAAATGTGCATAGATGCAGTTTTGACAGTTTCATTTGTCACTTGCCTTTTCTACAGATTGGGTTCTGGTGTCCTTTTTCACTTGACCATCTGAACTAACTAAAGAATATTGTGTTTCCTGTAGTGTACATGCAACAATGATTTCTAGTTACTTTAATCATAACCCTGCTAAAAGTGATTGAAACAAGAGCAGGTAGTAAGATGTTGTCTGAGTATACGTATTCACTTATATGTTGGATTTTTTACAGAATATATGATTATGATTCTTTCAATGGTAGAAAGGTTAACATGTTAAGTTTCACCTAACAGCCTTAAAACGAGGCTTATATTTATAGAGTTTGCAATTTTAATTAAGTTGCGTTTTTGAACAAGTTTGTGAATATTTTCAGAAGCACTTGCATGCATAAAACACTCCAGGCACTGATGTGTTCTTGTTCATACAAATCTAATCAAATAATTCCATTGCAAATATTTAATACCCACCATGTATTCCGTGTTTATATATGTTAAAAACATTCTTGAAATACATAAAAATCCCACATTCACTAGCTCATTTCTTTTTGCTTATAGTTTGTAGTGTATTATATGTATTGATTCCAGGGATGCAGAACACTACGGACCCATTTGTGGAATTGCAAGCATAGTTCTTGCACATCACCCCTCTGTTTGTGCCAGGGATAGGGGAATTTCTTGCCTGCAGGCTAGGTCTAGCTCCTGGTGCCTTTGGATCAATTCTGTCTCATCCCTCTTTGCCCCTCCTTGACACAGTAATTAGACTAGAAAAAAGCTTCTGTTGTTGCCAATGGAAGCTTTTGTTTCAAAGCCTAATTGATGTACGGAGGATAGGAGTTCAGAAGTGAAAGAAAATCATGACCTTGCCCACGCTTGTTATCCATTTCCCAAGATGTTATCCCTGAGGAAATACGACTCTCAGCATACAAAGGGTTCCCTAGCCTTTTTCTATACACAGGACTTGGTTCCCAGATTGTATCTCTTTTTATTGCATACCTTCATAGCAGTTTTGTAAAGGGGCATTTCGTTCACCACTGACGTGGTCCTTGTGTGTTGCCCTTTCTGCGTAAACATTTCATTGATGGCTTGCGGCATCCTACCTGATGTACTGTCGGTGTGTTGCTAACTGTTGCTTTTCTTTACAACAGATTTGGTTCAGGTGGCATTTTTCACTTGCTCATTTGAGCTGGCCATAAAAAACATTAGCTCCCCCTGGTGTTCGCTCTTCAGTGAAGAAGATGCCAAGGTAGGTACTGTGTATACGTCTGCAACCCCCTTAACTAAAGAAGTGGAGAATTGAATGTTTCAGTGTATTGTGAAAAAAACTGTTATTCGGTCTCACAGAATTATATAGGACATAGCGGGTAGTATTCAACAAAGTTTTTACTCAAGAGTAGAGCCTCTGAAAGTGATGCGGGTGGCACTGTGGGTTAAACCACAGACCTAGGGCTTACCGATCAGAAGGTTGGTGGTTCAAATCCCCTTGATGGGGTGAGCTCCCGTTGCTCAGTCCCTGCTCCTGCCAACCTAGTAGTTCAAAAGTACATCAAAGTGCAAGTAGATAAATAGGTACCGCTCTGGCAGGAAGGTAAACGGCGTTTCCTTGCGCTGCTCTGGTTCGCCAGAAGTGGCTTAGTCATGCTGGCCACATGACCCAGAAGCTGTATGCCAGCTCCCTTGGCCAATAAAGCGAGATGAGCGCCACAACCCCAGAGTCATCCACGACTGGACCTAATGGTCACGGGTCCCTTTACCTTTACCTAGAGCTGCTGAAATTAATCAACATTACTCAGCTAAGTCCATTAATTTCAGTGGTCTACCATGAGGAAAACTTGAATTCTAACCATGAGCTGAAATCTGGCACTCACTTAACATGATTTAATTTGACCAAAACAACCTGCTACGGCAGGACAAGTGCTAGCACAAATGATACTACCACAGTTTGATCTTGGGGAGTGTCATTTAACATTCCTCCTCTCGTTAGATACCCTCTCCTACTCTGCCCAACCTTCCAGCCTGTCACCCTGAGCATCTGCGTGTAGACACCTAGGATAACAGATGCATATATATTGGCTATATTCAGTCTCTTTCTAAGGAACACTAAATTCCTAAAAGTAGAGTCTGCTTTTAACAAGGCTCATAACCAATGTCTTTAGCATTAGCTGCACCTATTGACTTCACTCCTGTGCAGGAAAACAATCCTTTGCCTACCTTTTCACTCATATTCCTATTAAATTGTAGAATTCAGTGCTCATTCCCGTTTGCTGTTCCTGGCTTGCCCCTGGGAGGCTGCAACTGCAGTGTTATAAAGGCAGGTCTCTGCCAAAGCGTTTGCTCCTGATTGCAATGGTGGTAGGGAGGGAAGAGGAAAGAACCCATTGCCTGAGGTGGAAAACGGGGTAACTATCTATATTGATGGGTTAGGTACCAATAGTTAAATGAAAGTTTGTGTGCGTTGGAATGGCCTGCCTGCAATTTACTAAAATATCTTGTTGCATGTAAAATAATCCCTCTTTGTAACAACTTTTAAATGTGTGTGATACCAGGTACTTGAATATCTGAATGATCTGAAGCAGTACTGGAAGAGAGCTTATGGGTATCCTATCAACAGCCGCTCCAGCTGCATTCTTATGCAGGATATCTTCAAACATTTGGACCAGGCTGTTACAGAGAGTAAAAGGTAAAAAATTGGTGGTGGTGGTGGGAAAACACATACTCTGTTTCGTGGTCCCATTCTAGGTGCCACTAAAATGGTTCCACCTTCTTGAATGTGCCACAGCTGCTATTTGTGGAACGATCAATATATGTAAGCATTCTTTTTATGTTTTTTGTTTTTTGTTTATGTTTTATGTTTTAAAAGACCAAAATGTGTGTGTGTATGCGTGTGGCACAGAGCTTTCCAAACTTTTCATGTTGGTGACACACTTTTTAGACATGCATCATTTCGCTGCACAGTAATTCAGTTTTACCAGCTAACCAGAGATTAAACTAACCCCTTTCCAGCCCCAGGAGGAGTGCAGGGAGCGTTCACATGACACACCCACACACTGCAGCTAACACACTAATGTGGTGCGACATGCAATTTGAAAAGCTCTGGTGTAGCAGGTGGTGGAAGAAGGGGACAAGGAATGTGGCACTGGGTTGGAGAACCTTTTTCAGCCCAAGAGTTGCATTCCCTTCTGGGCTATGTTCCAGGGACAAAAAGAGGCAGAGCAACAAGTTTGAATGTTTGAATGTACAGTAGGCTAGTTTTTCTAGACCCCTGCCTCTTCCTACAGTCAGGAAAGCCCAAAGCATCGCAGTTCAAGGACTCATTCTAGCCAGCCAAAAGCACTTGAGGCCACAGAGCAGGGAAAGTGGCCTAGGGAGGAGGGGACGGCCTGGAAAAAGTCCTGAATGTCAGATATAGATGCTTACAAAACAAGAGGATGATTTATTGAGAGAAGTGTCTTCTACAGGACCGCCTCTCCTAGCATGCCCCGCGGAGGACCTTAAGGTCCACAAATGACAACACTTTGGAGGTCCCAAGTCGCAAGGTGGTTAGATTGATCTCAACTAGGGCCAGGGCCTTTTCAGTACTGGCCCCAACTTGGTGGAACGCTCTGTCACAAGAGACCAGGGCCCTGCAGGATTTGACATCTTTCCGCAGGGCCTGCAAGACAGCTGTTCCGTTTGGACTCAGTCTGACCCTTATGTTTCCCTCCCCTTATGGTTTTGATCTATGGGCTACTTTTAAAATGAAGCTGCATTTTAAATTATATTTTAACTTGTATTTTAAATTGGTTTTTTTCTTTTTCCTATTATGTTTTTGTTGTAACTTTACTGGTGTTAGCTGCCCTGAGCCTGGCTCTAACCAGGGAGGGCGGGGTATAAATAAAATATATTATTATATTATTATTATTATTATTATTGCATTTAAATTCAATTGAACCGCTATGGTCACAGTTAGGTGTATGAGCAGGTATTTTATTTGGCTTGCAGCCCACTTAAGACTGATTTCCCACTTCCGTTTGGATCTGTGGCAAAACCTCCCTTCAGTTTGTTTCCGGATGCCTGGATATCAAACACATGACTATAACTTTTTATATTCTAACATGAGTGGAGAACATATGGTGTCCGTTCTTTAGTGAGCATTTGTTTTGATTCGCTTGCAGAAAGGCTATATGACTTCCCATCAAACATTATCCCAGTTTTTAGGGCCCTTCCCTGTCACTTTCCTTACTGCAATAAGTCATTTTTAATTTAAAAAAAAAATGGATTTGTTGCACCAGAGTGCTTTAAATCGTGCAGACCTAAATATCCATAAGCTATTGAATCCCTCCTGAAAAATAGTGGCAGTCTGTAGGCAGCTGATTGTTAAACAACAAAAAGCTGCAGGAGATCCCAGTTATGAATTGCCTGCATCGTGTCTAGATTTGATATAATTAGGAGCTCTGTGAAACGGTGCTGTTCCTTTTCCTAACAGTTGATGGCAGTATAAACAGAGGATGCTAATCTAAATTTTGAATAGGTTTCTCTTAACTAAGCTTAGTAAACTAAAGTACCTAATTGCCTCTTTCACCTACCAGCTTTTTCTGACTACTGATAATAGTTTATCCTGACAAGGGAGCAGAGGGCAGCTGTTGCCTTCTATGGAGGGTGAGTTGAGACACGGGGAGACAAAGTGACTTGCCGTATGTGACACCTAGAATCGAGTAGATAAGTTTAACTTCCAGCCACTAATCCCCAATTAAAGCTGCAGCTAGATGAGATAACGTATGCAGAGCTAATGTAAAATAAGCATTCTCATACCTCGTTCAAAATAACAAGCCACTTTATCTATAATTTTTCTATTAAAATGTACTCTTAGTATGGAATAGTAGAGTATTTAATCAGCGTTACTTATACCAAGAGGCAAACAGTTCTTTCCCACAACATGAATTAATGTTTAAAAAACACTGTGAAATCATTGGAAGTCTTTAAACGCTATTATAATTTGGGGTTGAACTTAATTTTCTTCCATGTGAAGGTAACATTTTGAGAAGTACCCATCTCTAGATAAGTCCTATTCCACAATTCCCTTCAGTATCATTCACACACACACACACACACACACACACACACATATGACCAGACATTTGACTAAGCCAGGCATAGGCAAACTCCCATCATCCTTATCTAACAGGACCAGTGGTCAGGGACGATGGGAGTTGTAGTCCCAAAACATCTGGAGGGCTGAGTTTGCCTATGCCTGGACTAAGCTACATAGAAACATACAATTGTAGAGTTGGAAGGGACCCCAAGTGTCATCTAGTCTAGCCCCCTGCAATGCAGGAATCTCAAGCAAAGCATCCAAGACAGATGGATAGTTGCTTCATAGTTTCTTCCTCCTCACTTCGTAAATTGTTTCCCCCCCCCTTTAGAATTTAAATTTGTATATGTTATGTTTATTATACGGTTAACACCTGCCTTAATAGAGTGACCATATGCAAAGGAAAGCACTGCCTCTGTGCTTTTTAACTGAGGAAGGAATTTCAGCAGGTGCAGCCTATCCTATGCATGGATAAGAGACACTTCACCTGCTTAAATCTTCTTCTACACAACTTTTAAATGTTCAGAAGTTCAATTGGGTTATTCAGCATTGTGATTCCTTAATACCTTATGACCAAGGGTTTATCTGAATCAGTGGAGGGGTGTGTGTGTGTGTGTGTGTGAGAGAGAGAGAGAGAGAGAGAGGAAAGAAAGAAAGAAAGAGAGAAAGATTCTCTTCAGTGACTGGGAGGGATCACTATTTGACATCAGAAGACAGCCTTATTATTGACCCTATATGAGATATGCTTCTGTGTGTATTAATCTTTGTGTGTTTAGGGATTAGCTTTGTTTGGAATGGCTTTATGGAATGTTTAATTATATAACCTTGTAAAGATTTTTAAGAGCTCTAAACAGTTTAGGGGAGAAATTGACTTGTCCCAACCGCAGTGACTTTTAAAACTCCATCCTGAGGTTGAGGAACAACTTCTCTCATTTGATTCCTATCGGAAGTTAAGACTGCACTTGGTGGACCGTAGCCACAGCCTCAGCTTCTGAACAACGCACACTGAACATTTAAAAGCCCTTTGAAGTGAATGGTTGCGCTTCTGTTGTGGATTCCGTTTATTTTTACAAAGGCACGGCCATGTTTTTAGTCCTCTTGCGTGCTATAGAAAGAAATTGAAGAAAACTTAGAAGGAGCAACGGCAGTCCTCATAGTTGGAATCATGGAACTGCAGAGTTGGAAGGGATCCCAAGGTTCATCTAGTCCAACTATACCTGCAAACCCAGTGACCTTTGTGACGCTATCAGCTGGCAGCTGATTTTCGAATAGAGATAATGCATTACATTCTCTTCGTTACTGAGAACAGTACACAGATCAGAGCTATTTGGTTGTCATCAAGCCAATGGGTGGTAGGGAGGGCAGCATTAGGGTAGGTTTGAGAATTCAGTGTTGAGCTGTGAGTGCCGAGTTCTGTCACCGTTGCTTTATAAGCTTGGTGCCAATTTCTGCCTATTTTTTGTCTTCCTGCGTAGTACTGCTTTACAAGCATAACTGAACGCAATAAGGCATGTGTATGAGTAAGACATGCACAGGTTTACACTGCCAGATACTTTTCAGAAGGGCAGGGAGAAGCAGAGCAAGAACTGAAGACACTATCACTATAGTCAGGCATTCAGATGGCTCCAGTGTTATTTCATCAGATTCAGCCTTTGCCAATACAGTGTCCTTCAAATGCTCTAGGGCTACAAGGGCTACAACTCCCAACATGCTGCCTGGAATTGAGTTTTACACTGAGCTTTCTTCTTCATTGCAGCTTAGAAATGAGAGGGTAGCTTCTAGTTATTATATCATTTCAAAAGGCATTTGGTAGTCAACAGAAGGAGTAACAGGAGTCCTTTAACAACGATTGAAGTTGAGATTATGTACTCTGGTTATGGGTATATACACCTTCCTTCTTCTGAGTCATACCATCTGTCCATCTTCGAGAACAGTGTTCCTCAACCTTCAGTTCCCAGATGACGTTGTACCACGACAACATCCCTGACCACTGACTAACTGGATGGATCCAAGGTTGAAGAACACTGCTCTAGAGCGTGGGTGGGGAATCTTTTCCTGGGGCCATATTGAAAGCTCCCACCTCCTCTCATGGGCCATCGTGACAGGTAGATGGGGCCCAATGGGAACTCCGATCCCTGCACGCTCACTGATTTGCCCCGACAGCAAGCCTTGCTTTGTCAAGGAACAATAGAGAGTGCTCTCTAAGGCTCCTAATTGTTGGCAAACACGTCTCTACCTGCTCCACACTTAACATCGCAGATAATATCAGGTGTCGGGCAGGTTGGTGTGGCTTGGGGAAAATGGTCTCATAGACCAAACTGGAACCCATGCTGGGCTTGACTAGACTTGTAGACCGGAGGTTACCCATCTCTGCTGTAGAGTCTAGACTGGGACTGGTGGTATTTGAAGTCCAAAACATCTGAAGCAGGCTTCCTCAAACTCAGCCCTACAGATGTTTTGAGACTACAATTCCCATCATCCCTGACCACTGGTCCTGCTAGCTAGGGATCATGGGAGTTGTAGACCAAAAACATCTGGAGGGCTGAGTTTGAGGAAGCCTGATCTGGAGAGTGGCAGATTGACCAAGGCCGATCCAGCCCTGTGTTATGTATTGTGACTTGCAGCAGCTCACCCAATAGCAAGGGATAGGTTTTAGGGTTTCTGAAAACATCTTGACAGCTTGGTGGCAAGGTATTCTGTGTGCTGAATTGACTTTGGGATACCCACTTCCGATTCTTTGAAACAGAAATAAAACTTTAAAATGCCAGCATGTAAATTCAGATTTGATTGTTTTCTGATATCTCTTTACTGAATGGGTTTGTACTTTACTCCCAAATTCTTATTACACAAGCTAGAGAATTTTGGATGTTGTTGTTGTTTAGTCGTTTAGTCGTGTCCGACTCTTCGTGACCCCATGGACCAGAGCACGCCAGGCATTCCTGTCTTCCACTGTCTCCCACAGTTTGGTCAGAAGAGAATTTTGGATACAGTGGACTATCTCATTAGGCATTAAACTCCTGAGTTCATGCTTGAGAGAAACGCCTTCTTTCTAAACCAGTCAGACACTGCCTTCATTTGTGGGTGAGGCTTCTAAGCTGGCAGCCAACAGATGAAAATGCCAAACATCACCTTTTGCCTAAAGAAAAAGAACAAAGATCTGTTTGCTATGATAGTTTACTAAACAGAAAGCAATTTGTGCTGTTCTTTCAGATGTCAGATGTTGGCAGAAACATTTCTGCTCCCAGAATTTTGATACTGATTTCTGATCAGTGTTCAAAAATGTGCAATAGCACATTGGTACAGGCTTCATTTATTTGAGTTTTATGTTGGAGTTACCTAGCTTATTCTTATGCACCTTATTAGGCTATGCATCACCTGCCAACCTAGCAGTTTGAAAGCACGTCAAAGTGCAAGTAGATAAATAGGTACCGCTCCAGCAGGAAGGTAAACGGCGTTTCCGTGCGCTGCTCTGGTTCACTAGAAGCGGCTTAGTCATGCTGGCCACATGACCTGGAAGCTGTACGCCGGCTCCCTCAGCCGATAAAGCAAAATGAGCGTCACAACCCCAGAGTCGGCCACGACTGGACCTTATGGTCAGGGGTCCCTTTACCTTTAGGCTATGCATCAGAGAAACCTGAATGTAAGAAGCATGTACTAAGAAGCACTAGCCACATGGCAAAGACTATAGGAAGCAATTACTTTGGTAAAGGAGGCATCTCATCAAACAGCTAAAATGTTCATCCTGACCAAAGACTAAATTCACTTGTGTTGGTTTTCTTAATAAAATAAAATAAAATAAAGGAAAAAAAGAAGGAAATTTGGTATTTGTTGCTTGCATTGGGTCAGTAATTGTGGGAAAGGGGAAATTGTATACCTTCATTTCCTTATGTAAAAACAGTTTTTAGTCTGATTTCTTGGGCTTGCTAAATCACAGTATGGTGGGGAATTTCTTCTGTACTACCCCACCATAAGCACAAAAATATGTATATGAATTCTTGGAAAAATGAGTAATCTATCTTATTTCCTTAAAGCTTGCGACCTGTTATAAAGAACTGAGGATATAACATAACTTATGCAGTACTTTATTATGTCAAAGTGTCATTTTTAAACTTCAGAAGCAGGATACTTCAAAGCATTCTTCTCTAAATAGGACAGGTCAAACAAGTAGTTGCATTTTATTTCTTTTTTGATGTTACAGGTTAACTTAAAGTACCAAGAACTTTCCTCTGTTGAATTAAAAACTGTATTTTAGCTTTGGCTTGTTGCTTGGCCTTCGTATGCTTGTCATAGCTGCTGCTAATAATTCTAAGGCTTGAAAGTTTTTACATTTAATTGTGATGAAAACCTGAATTTATGAACTGGGCTTTGTTTATTCCATTCACAAAACACAACATATGTAAAGCATGGTGTCCCCTAATGCAAATTATAGTTACACCTGTATGTTCCTTTATATAGATTATGTTACAAGCTTCTAAAGGTAGGGACAGCGTAATGTGATAAGTATCATATCAAGCTTATTACTGAGAAGCTTGGTTTAGCTGGAACTCTAAACATACTTGATGCTTGATGCGGGGGGGGGGATGACCTCAAAGCAGTTTACAAAAAGTTAAAACAGAGAAAAATCTACAACCTTTCTTCAAAGCATACAAAGAATAAAAATACTGGAGTTGACATTCTGCTTTACTATAACATGAGCACATGGAATGATGAGTAACATGGGATCTCGGACCTTTAAATTTTCTAAAAAATATATTAACTATAAATAGTAGTGATGATAATAGCTTTGGGGAGAAGAAACTAGACAGCTGCTTTTGCATTACTTTTTTATATTGTAGCATCACCGCGGTACATTAGAGTTACATAAGCAACATAGATGCTGTAGGAACTTACAATCTGAAATGAAACAGGCATTTGGTCAGTTGACTGTCAAGGTGGAGGAGTGGAGATCATGGGCAGAGATAAAATGAGAAATAGGAGTCAAAATATAGGTTGAGTAGGGGCAGAGAGAGGTCTTGAAGGCCAGGCTTTCTATTGACTATAAAATATCATGGGATGCCAGGGAAGGAAACAAATGATGTGGTCAGATCAGTGAGAAATGAGAATAATTTTGGTTTTGGTTTCTCGATAGACAGGAGAGGACTAAGATGTGAAAGAGGAAGAGGGCAGAGGGCTTACATGAACCAGAGTTGTAGCCACGAGGACAGAGAGGAACAGTTGGATTTTTAGTATGTTGTACAGGGAGAAAGGTCCATAACATGGCCGTTCTAAACAGGTGGGTAGCAGTGGAGAGAAACTAATCCAAGATAAGCTGTGACACTTTGCCTGGACAATAGGATGAATGAAGTAGTCGCCATTCATGTGCCAAAAAAATCACTACAGAGTGAGCGCATCATCTGTAGATGAGTTGCGAGTTGCTCATTCTCTGCTTTGCCATTCATTCTCTTTAGAGAATTGCTCTCTTCCACTGCACCCCAATATCCACATGATCTCAGCTGTAACTGCAGGTCATCTCTTAGCCGGGAATGAGATTGAACTCTGTAATCTTCTAGTTCTTTTCTTAAAAATAACATACCGGTATTATTATTATTATTTTAAAAATGATTTCTTGACCAAGTGTTTTTTAGCAGTCAAATGCCATTCCTACGGTTCAGACCACCAAAAGTAAAACAACTCTTTTACAGTAGCATAGTTTGCTAATTCTTGTAACTATACAGTAGTTGTGCCTCACTGCTTGGGACTACATTAGTCAAGAAACAGCGTTTTGAATGCGTTATAAATATGCAACACCAGATGGTGCTAGAGAGTAAAAAAAATATATGTTATTTTCCATAGTGTTTTTTTTCCTTTTGTTATAATGATTTAATTTCTCACTTATTTATAGCGTGTTTTTCCCCGAATGTGTAGATCCACCCTTAGATTCATCTGACTAACCATCTTTTGCTTTTGCTTTTAAACTTTCTAGTTCGAAGCCTATTTCCTCTCCCGTGATCCTCCAGTTTGGACATGCAGAAACCCTTCAACCTCTCCTTGCTCTCATGGGCTACTTCAAAGATGAAGAGCCTCTTAAAGCAAACAACTACCACAGGCAGATGCATCGGAAATTTCGTAGTGGCCGCATCGTCCCTTATGCCGCAAATCTGTTGTTTGTGCTTTATCACTGTGATCAAGCCACAACTCCAAAGGAAGAGTACAAGATCCAGATACTGCTCAACGAGAAGCTGCTGGAATTTCCACACACGGGAGAAACCGTTGCTTTGTACACTGACCTGAAAAACCACTATAATGAAGCCCTCCAAAATTGTCACTTTTCCGAAGTGTGCGACATGCCAAAAAATACTTCTGAAGGTGATCTGTATATAAAGGTGACAAAGTAGAGGAAGCATTTTTTGTGTGTGGAAGTAATTGATAAAATGTAGCTCTTTTGCTTTTGCTACTTTTTAGGAAGATGTACCATTACACTTAAAAAAAACCAACTTCATAAACTGGTTTCTGAAATTCAAAAACAAAATTACAAAAACAAAGATATAGGACATCTCAAAACATTCAAACAAACTTCTGAAGCTCTTTCTGGGAAAAAACTGCCTTTTTTAGGATCAGGAATGATCTAGGTGTAACCACATGGTATTTGGCATGCAGTTTACTTCATAGGTATGCCAGTTATTTAATGTGAATAGTTTGGAAGTTATTGTGGATCTCAATTGCTGCTTCACTGGAATATTCACTTGTGAATACAGCCTCTTATGTACAAACATCTCCTAAGTACAAACATCTCTTATATAAGATTCCAGGTGGTTTTCATGGTTGTTTTACAAAAATAATTGGTTTTTGCCAAGTATTTTGGAGACCTTGCATAAAAGGTTGCATCTAGTTAAGTTATACTCAAAATAGTCCACTGAAATAATGGACTTTTCTAATAACTGATTTTAATGGGTCTGCTCTGAATATGACCTAATTGCACACAACCCCCAAATTGTAAAGCCATAGGAGTACCAGTGCTGCTTAATCTATTTTCATAATTCAGTCTTTTTTGTGTTTTGTTTTGGTAGCTTTTGCCCAGCAATAATGTGGTTCTGTGGCTGCAAAAAGAGGGGTGGTACGTTTGCCAATTGGGCAGATGCCAATCTGTGATGGGCATTCAGGTATTCTATAATAATAACATTGAAGAGAAGGGGGTCACTGCTCTGAGTTCAGCTTCAAAAAGAACAAAATTACTCAGCTAGAGAGAGCACAGTTGTACCTTGGAAAGTTGAACGGAATCCATTATGGGAGTCCGTTCGACTTCCAAAATATTCGGAAACCAAAGCATGGCTTCTGATTGGCTGCAGGAAGCTCCTGCAGCCAATCAGAAGCCCCGTCTGACGTTCGGCTTCCAAAAATAGTTCGCAAACCGGAATAGTCACTTCTGGGTTTGCGGCGTTCGGGAGCCAAAACATTCAAGAACTTAGCTGTTCAGAAACCAAGGTACGACTGTAGTTCATAGTGCACATTTTAAAGAGGAAATCCGTGATGCTTTAATATGGCTTCCCCCTTTAAATCCATTCTTGGGTGTGGTTTCCATATGTAAAGAGACTGCTTTTCCCAACTAAATATATTCAATCATGCATTGAAGCAGGAATTAGTTTTTCAGAATTGAAAATAGTATTATCACCTCCGTCTTGGTCTGTTTCTCTATAGCTTTTTTTCATTCCTATGAACCATTCCTTGAAACCGGAGTGTTGTTTTTTTAGTGGGGCACTATCTTGGATACAGTATTGCTAAACACTTTGAAGATTTTGGTTTTGGTTTTTACCAAGAGTTGCTGCTAAAAAACCCATGCTTTTAAGAAAAATAATAAAGAACAACTATCCATAGAAGAGACTGCATCATGGTTATACAGTGTGCAGCGTATCTCTGTGTTAAATTGCTGGTCTATAACATGAGATGCCATACAGCACCATTTTGAAGGGAGCTCTTTCTAAAGAGAAGGTTTTACTAACAATTTTGGGGGGTGGGGAGGGGAGGGGTGGTTGTTAATGGGGAGTGTCAGGTGAACAAACCTGTAAGGGTAGGTCTGTTGACATTGAAGTCCCGTCTATCCAATTCCACAGGATGAACGAAATGTAGCATATCGCATGATAAAGCTGTTTTCATACTGGATGAATATAAGTATTTGTGAGCAGTGTGGTTGCTAAGGTGTGTGCTTACAGTGGAGCCTTTTGTGTGCCTATAATTCTGTTTACGGTTTCAAACTTCTCCTGCATATCATATAATGGTTTGGTTGCTGTATAACCAAAGAAGGAAAACTTCACAATAGTACAAGCTGTTTAAACACCTCAAATATTGTCAGATAGCTATCACGCCATTCCCCCCCAAAAAAAAAATTAAAGGAAAAAAGTAATTATTGGACTGATTTGTCTCATTTGTTAAATGCAGGGTAGATGTTTAGGCTTAAGGCACAAAATACAGACCTAAAATGTGGGGAGTAGTCATTTCAAGTGGAAGAAGAGCAAACTAGAGAGGCTAGTGAACTTTTCTCAGCCAGCTGCTTTTTTCCCCCTGTCTGGGCTTGGAGACTGGAAATGAGCTCAGTTTCGGGAAGGTGTTGTGGCGACAGGGCTGGGAAAGGGTTTAGCACTTCCCATTGCAGCCTCTGCCTCTCTGCTTGAAGTTGCATTCTATAGATATATACCTGTATGTGCATACACATATACACGCACAATTTTATGCCTGTTCAGCAACCCATGTCCTAAGATAAGAATCAACAGAAAGTGATGAGTCATCAAAAGGAAGTGATGAGTCATAGAACAGGGCTATGTAGATAAAAGGTAGAATAATGAAGAGATGCAAAAAATGCATTCAATTCCCAATGAATAACTCTACCAACTAGAGGCATCATGCAGCTTTCCTTTCTACTTGTGGCAGGGCAGGGAGATGGAAGAACTATATATTTCATTACTTGAAAACTAGGGTGAAAGAATAGCGCCCCTTTCTGTACGTAAAAAAAAACAATTTAATTATTGTTCTGCACTTTCAGGTTGGCAGTCAGCCTGACCTACCTCACAGAGTCGTTTTGTGGGGATTATATGAGGGGGGACAACTATTTATGCTACTTTACGCTCCTTGGAGAATAAAGCTAGAGTATATAAACAATAATACTAAGGTAGCTCCATTCACTTCAGTGGCACCAGCAAGTTTGCTATTTGAAGAAATAATGATGACTCGTACCTGATGCCCTACTTAAATGTGGTATGAGGTTATGGTAGCGCACCTGCTTTCTAAATGCCACTCTTAAGCACTTGTTAAAATAGTGATTTGAGTGGCTACTTTTAAAGCATTGAAGATAAACAGGGGGACACGATTTGCAATCAATTAAAAATGTTTGCATAAGGTGGGGAAATGTGTTTTAGTGCAGGAACAGGCTTTGGCTTCTGTAATTACAAAGTGGGTCAAATGCTTCTGTCCTTGGAGACTTCCGGGGTGGCGCCATCGGCAATGGCGGACTCCCTCTGAACTGGAGGGACTAGCTCCGCGCGAAACGGGTCTTTTCCGCTACGGCGAAGCGGGGACCCTTTTAAAAATCACAGGCAGATGAAGCCTGTGACCATGGGACTCGGCGGGCACCCTTAGCGCCCCCCCAACCCGCGGAGGAACCCACTAACGGGCTCCGAAACGAAGAGGGGGAAGCGGCGCGGTGCTGTGAGTCAACTGCTATTTCCGTGGAGCGAAGCCGCATAGCCGTTGCTGGAGAGCGCTGCCTTTTTCCTGGGACAATTTGGCTTCTAAAATAAGCACCCGTGAGTACTTAAACTTTGAACAAATTGGACTTTAAATAAGGATTTGCGAGCAGAAAGGAATTGGATTTAAAAATTTACTTCAATTTGGTACTGAAACAGGAAGGTCTAAACAGGAAGTCAGCCTTCCGTTTCTTTGTAGAAAGAACAAAGCAAAGACAACGTAAACTAGAGCTTAGAAAATCGCTTCCAAAGGATCAGCTTTCATCATTTAAAATCCTCGAACCCCCCTTCGGCTGCAGGAGAAGAAGGGGGATCTTTTTTGGACTGTTTAAACCTGCAGAAGTGAGTTTAAAGTAAAGTAACTTTCCACCGTCCTGATCCTGGAGCGGGGTGTCAGGACTGACGTTTGAAGCTCATTGACCAGAGACAAATGTTTTTGACAGATAGCTAAAAGAAGAGAAACATAGTGATTCCACTGTTTCCTTTCGCATTTTAAAGGAACAAATATTGACAAAATATCTTAAAAAAGAAACTTTGTTGCAAGAACAACTAGAAGTTTTCCCCCTAGAGGGAGACTGGGAAACTGTAACTAATTCCAGGGAGCTTGCAGCTGTCACAGATTACAATCGTGGGAAAAGGCTTGTGACCTTGTAGGACAATGAATTCAGAAGCTCTGTTGTGTGCTCTCTGTAAAATAAATGCTCTACTGGAACAGTTAACTGAGAAGACGGATTTGATGACTAATGCGGTCAGAATTTTTGAACAGGCAGTGGGAAACTATACGGAGCCCACCCAGGAATTAAATCAGGAGTGTGCCCTGACAGAACAGATGAGAGAAGAGGATGTTGCGCAATCTTGGGCGCCAGAGATGGAGGGAGCTGCGGCCCAGCAGGAACATGAGCTTTTGGATTTGACAAAGGAACTTGGTAAAAGCCAGATTAGGAAAGATAAAGTTTGGACTGATTTGGAAATGGGGGGTTGGATAGACCCCCCTATGCAGGGATGTTTGGACTTTCCGAGTCTGGCAATGGGCCATGAGATGTTTGGAGCTGTGGGGGCTCTCAATTTTGGAGGGATTCTGAAATATGACTTTAAATACTACATGGAGTTTAGTCTGGACTATGGAAAAGGGGCTGATTTGTTGAAAAGGGTCAAAAACATTACCAAGCTGGAGTTCCCACGAGTGAAAGGTGAATATGAAGAAGAGCTGCGGAAGGGACATGGAAGGGACTTAAGGGCCTCGGATATAAGGTTACCAGGTTAATGCGCTAGATCGATGGGATAAAAAGGACTGACAAAACCCGGGACCAGGAGGAAGGGACGCTGGATGAAGATTGGATTGTTTCTATTTCTTTTTTTTTATTACTAGGATTGTTTTATAAAATTGATGACTGTTAGAAAAATGTTGGAACGAAATTACTTGGCTCTAGCAAAAATGTTTAAAGAATTAGGCAAGAATATTATGGTCATGAGAAGTGGGTAAAAATAAGATTTAAGTTTTAAGGTTTTTATAAGATAAGATGAAAATAGATCAAGGTAATGTAATGACAGAATATTATGAAATATGGAAAGGATTTGCTGCGATAATTAATAACTGGGATACAAAAAAAGGGAGGAGGAGGTCAAAGAAAGAAGGTAATGAAAGTTGAAGATTTGAGAATGTTGGTTTTATTTTTATATGTTTGTGGTGTATTTTTGCTTTTTGAATTTGTATTGTTGGATGTGGTTTGTTTTCTTTTTCTTTTTCTCTTTTCTGTTTTTTCTTTTTTCTTTCTCTGCTTTGTTTTTTCCTGTAATTTTAAAAATTTTCAATAAATATCATTTTTAAAAAAACTAAACAAATGCTTCTGTCCTTGAGCTTTAAGCTGGCAGCCCTTGGGTCTTTCATTCAGCTGTTCATTGGTAGTCCTAGCATGGGTCATAACACTTAAGATATCTCCATATTTTAAGACTACAGTGGTACCTTGGAAGTTGAACGGAATCCGTTCGACTTCCAAAATGTTTGGAAACCAAGGCATGGCTTCCTATTGGCTGCAGGAAGCCACATTGGATGTTTGGGTTCCAAAGAACGTTTGTGAATCGGAACACTCACTTCCGGGTTTGCGGTGCTTGGGAGCCAAAACGTTCAAGTCGCAAGGCGTTCATCAACCAAGGTACGACTGTATAATGTTAAATGTAGTCAAATGTCTAGGAAAATGCAGTTTCATGTTTACAGAGCAGCTTTTCAATGGTGCCCCAAAATAGTTACTACCTACAAAGTAACAATTGCATTGTATTTGCCTTATGTAAGCTTTTTCTTTTTCTTCTTGGCAGCAAACCATTAGTCCTCAACAACTTTCAATGAAATGATGACAAGTGGATTAAAAAGTATTGTTTACATTGCTTCAAAGAAATTAAAACTCCCGGCAATTAAGCTTTTTTTTTTTTTTTAAGGTAAAACTGTCTTCTTGAATGGTTACACAATTTACCCATATGAGTTTTCTACCTTCCTGCTGATCAGGAAGCTGACACAGCAGAATTGACAACACGGATCATTTGTTAGAGCAGGGATGGAGGAGGGAGAGAGACAGAAAAGGGTTCAGACTTAGATTGTTCTGTGTACAGTCCGAACCCAATAATGGTAATACACTGCAATGCACAGTTTTAGATACAGAGAAATAAGAGCATAGAGAAATTATGCAGACAGATGGAGGTGCTAAGAGTCACACTGATGGCTCACTGGAGAGAAATTTCCTTCTCGCAAGGCAGTCAGTTTGTACACACATGCAAAAATATCTTAGTAATCCATCGCCCTTCACAAACACCCTTCTTAAAAAACAAATAACAAAATGGACTTCTTTAGTGGCTCCCTAATTGTGGCTCCATCCCTGCTCTAGAAAAAATTTCTGCGTTTTCAACCATAGGATGAATTCTGGCATCATGCAAATATTTTGGTGAGTCATAATGTGGGTAAATTTATTACAAATTCTATAAAGAAATCTAATTGCACTTATACTACCTTGTCATGAGGAGACAATGCAATGCTTGCTCACATAAACGTTCTCTGCTGCTCACTTTCATTTGCTTTTCGCATATCGCAGTATCCGTAAATGAATCTCATTTCTCATTTGGGGTAGCTAGTGCCGGTACTAGGAATACGATTTGCCTAATAGACGATCTGTAAGATCTTTGGGTGTACTTCCCAGTCTTTGACTAAAAGCAAGGCAAACAGTTGCCTGACTTCTTGAAGACTGGCCTTAGACTGCAGCAGCAATCTGTATGTTTAAAAATGCAAGAGTAAACATGTTGATGCAAAGCCAGTCCTCATCTCCATAGGCCTTGCATGCATGCTTAGACTTAGAGGACCTAAGTGACACGTAACCTTTTGAAACAGGCAATACTGATTATTTGCATGTTGTGGCAAAGATACTTCTAATCAGGCAAATGGAGGGAAAGGGAAGTAGAGGGCTGTCTAGCTGCAGCAGCAACAAAGGTATTTAAGCCTGTATAACCAGCTTTGCAGTCAGTTGGGTTTATTGCTTGTTTGTTCTTTGCAGCTCTTAGGAGGGAAGAGGTGTGGGTTTGTTTCCGTAGTGAAAAGCCACAGCTTCTCCATGGAAAGCTTTATGACTCCTTTTTCAGCCTCTCTTCACCACACCCTCCCTTGAATTGATGAAGGTGGAATAATGCACACACATAAAAGCAAGTTGCGTACATGTTAATACATCGCGTGAACAGAGGCTTATGCACACACAGCATTAATAGATTTTAGGACCTTCCTAAAACATTAATTACTAGCAGGCTTGTGTCTGGCATTGCTTGGAAATCCTAAGAAAAAAAGAAAAATCAGTACAATTTTTAAAGGATTCAGTCCACCATCTTGATTCAACATGGAATCCAGTTGTATCCAAATAGGTTAAAAACCCTGCTCCTTGATCTCAGGAACCACCACGTAAAAAAGTGATTATGATATCTTAAGAGGTGTCCAAATGGGACTTCCGGGTTGGCGCCATCGATAATGGCGGATTCCCTCTGAGTCTCTGAGGGACCAGCTCCGCGGGATCGGGTCTGACCGCTGCGGCGAAGCGGGGACCCTTTCAAAATCACAGGTGGGTGAAGCCTGTGAACGTGGGGACTCGGCGGGCACCTTTTGCACCCCCCCAAACTGCGAAGGGACCCCTTTAGGGGTTCCGGAGCGAGACGGGGTGAGCGGCGCGGTGCTGAGAGTCGACTGCTTTTTCTGCGGAGTGAAGCCGCACAGCCGTTATCGGAGAGCGCTGACTTCTTCCTGGGACAATTCGACCTCTAAAGTAACTACCCGTGAGTAGGATAAAATTGGATTTAAAGGGGAAAATAATTTAATTCGGCACCGAAGCGGGAAGGCATAAACAGGAAGTCCGCCTTCCTTTCTTGTAAATAGATCAAAGCAAAGAGACTGTAAGCAGAAACCTTGAAAGACGCTTGAAAAAAGACTTAAATCCTAACATCAGAAAAGCGATCTCCCCTCCGGATTGCAGGAGAGGAGGGGGGAAAGGTTTGAACTGTATCTACCTGCAAAAAAAGAGGGAAAGGAAGCTAAAATCCACCGCTTAGAGCCTGGGAACGGACTGCCCTGAGACAAGGAATGCCGCTCTGTGAAAAGCACTATCGGTAAACAGAGTACCTTTGACAGCTAACTCTGCAAGAGAGATACAGTGTTTCTGGACTTCTCCTGGCTTTAAAGTAACTGATTAAGTGCAATTGAAGTGGTTTTCAGCTGTAATACTATAAGGGAATATGAAAAATGGATTATTAATAGGTAAAAATTTAACGTCACAATATTTTAAGATTAAAGATTAGGATAAACAAAGAGGGTAAGGATTTGCTGAACCAACAAACTGAACTGGAATACAAAAAAGGGAGGCGTGAGGAGGTCCGGGAAATAAGCTAATGAAAAATAAGTAATAGAAAGATTGAGTTGTTTTTAGCCATTTTTATTTTTGTACCTTTTTCTTTTTTTGTTTTTGTTTTGTAACATTTTGAAAATCTTAATAAATATCTTTAAAAATAAATAAATAAGAGGTGTCCAAATGCATAGTGGACCAGTGAAAAATTTCCCAGAATAGATACTAGATATAGCTGAATTAAAAGCTTTGAATTGATCTTACTCCCATCTTCTTAGAGTAGAGTTCCCCTAATACCTATATACACAATGTTTTTACCAGCAATAACAACAAAAGAGAGAACGGAGCCATAGTATCTCTTCCATATGACAATCTTCTGTGAATGGTATAGTATGCTTATGCATATAAATCATTGTGGGAAGTCACGTTTCTTATCATCATCTGAACATTTGGGATTGGTTTCTATCTATCTCAATAGACAATGGAGTGTGCCTCCATGGGTGAAGTCAAACTGTTGCGTTAGCAGCACTGAAGTGATCTCTCCAGGGCGCAAGCCTGGGCGGTGTGTATGAGGTCCTGGGCTGTCCAGATGACAAGACCCCACCTCTTGGCCTCACTGATGTGGCCCAAAGGAAAGCAAAGCAATGTGTTGGGAACCAGCTTGGCTACAGGAGTTGCTAGAAGGAAGTGTTCAAGGCGCCATCCAACCATCTTAGGGACTCTGGATTTGTGTAGGGTTTACTCCTTAGCCATTTCTTCTCCCACAGATATCCCACTAGGCAGCGGAGGTTTAGGATTAGAGTTTTCCTTCTCCTCCTAGCTACCTTCAGAGGTGGTTAAACCCCATTTGCCACTCACTCCGCTCTACAATACAGCAATCATCTTCCTGACCAGTGGACCCACTATTGGTTTTGTCCGCTCAAGCTGTTGGAGACTGTCTTCACATGCAGGGGAAGTCCCATACTCACTGAGGGTTTGAGACCCACTGGCTATCCTCACCTGGTTTAGCCGGCCAGGTGAAGCTCTTCCCAGGGTGTGGCTACTGTCCTATGCTAACAGCTTCTAGGAGCCACAGGTGAGAGCTGAGTGCAGAGTTGGGACCGAGGGAGGACAAACTACCCCAGAAAGAGCACATCATGTCCACTACCAGAAGTACTACTCCACTCCTATCACCCCATGCACCCCATCATCTGAACAACTGGCTGTGAATTTCAACATCACAGGTGCTTGGAAAGTAGTTCATGCAGAACTAATAGTATGATGATTTCATTTTTTGTAGTCACGTAAGGACATAGCTTTCCTAATGATTGGGCTCAAATGTGCGTGCCAGTAACTCATGATGACTTGGCAACTTATGTTTCCCTGTAAATATTGAGTAATTCTTTCAGCAGTCCTTCTCTCCAATTCCTGACTCTTTTTTAGCAGTTGAATGATGCTAAAATCACTCAAAATGCATCACAGGAAGTATAGCTTGCAGCGGGCAGCTTCTTATCCTTGTTATATGTCACAGATAAGAATAGAGACACATACATGTTTGTGTGTGTGTGTGTGTGTTGCTTCTCTTCTCGCCACTCCAGTGTTAGACCATTCCCTTCCATATAGTTGGAGATTCTCTTTCACCTGCTTGACAGTAATCTGACTATAGCTGTTTGCTTTATATAAAAAAAAGGAAAGCACAATATCACAATCGTTTCAGCTGTTCTTCCTATATAACAGATGCAGGTCACACACACCCATAAACATTTATTTTGTGTATACAGACATTTATTGAGGGGATGAGGTAGAAGGGCATGACACTCACGTATGCATTTATTTGCATGCACACTGAAGTCAGATTGCAACACACACACACCCTCCAAACTGTAACTTCTAGAGCAGAGCTGAGGGGCATTTTCAGCCCAAGGGCTGCATTCTCAGCTGGTAGAGCATGAGAGTCAAGGTCAAGGGTTAAATGTTGGGCCAAAGATTCCTAAATTGTAGGGGGTTGTGCTTGATGACCCTTCCAACTCTACAATTCTATAAAACCTTCTGAAGGTCACAGGCCAGTGTTGGGCAGGGCCAGGAGCAAAAGTGGGTGGAGCGAGATATGCTAATCTTACCTCCCTGCAGTGGCCTAATTGCTACACAAACGCACACTTCCATCAGAGGCATTATTAGAGTTCAAGGACACATTTTAGACAGATGAAACCGCTGATGGTTGCGTTCAGGAGACAGTTCTGAGGGCTAGGTAGAAGGACCTGAAGGACCTTTCAGCTCTTGTGCCTGAGGTTCTCCAACCCTAAGAGAAAATCCAGTGGAAAGGGTTGAAACCTAACAAGTTCTTGGGCAGCCTTCCCCAACCTTAGGGTGCTTTTGGACTCCTGTCATCTCAGACCATTGGTCATGGTGGCTGAGGGTGGTCCTACTTCAACAACATCTGGGGATCCAAGGTTGTAGGACATGGGTGCATGCAGACAAGTTGTTTTTTTAAAGGCATTGTCATCTACCAATGGTAGCTGTTACCATGGTGTTGTTCCAGTGTGACAGGTATTGTGCCTGATCCAGCACTTCTACCAGTTACTGCTACTACTACTACTACTAATAATAATAATAATTTATTATTTATACCCCGCCCATCTGGCTGGGTTTCCCCAGCCACTCTGGGCGGCTTCCAACTGAATATTAAAAACAATACAGCATTAGACATTAAAAACTTCCCTAAAGAGGGCTGCCTTCAGTTGTCTTTTAAAAGTAAAATAGTTGTTTATTGCCTTGACATCTGCTGGGAGGGCGTTCCACAGGGCGGGCGCCACTACCGAGAAGGCCCTCTGCCTGGTTCCCTGTAGCTTTGCTTCTCGCAATGAGGGAACTGCCAGAAGGCCCTTGGCGCTGGATCTCAGTGTCCGGGCACAATGATGGGGGTGGAGACGCTCCTTCAGGTATACAAGACCGAGGCCGTTTGTTGCGTATGCAGTGTATAATTGCATAATTAGAATGACTTCTACATGAATGGAAGATTTGTCTTCTCTTAACTGTTCACTTTAGACTAATGCATAAAAAGCATATTTTCGAATGATAATGTTCCCTATGTGAGTTTCTGGCTTGTAGTGGGGCAAAGGTTTACACCTCCAGCTTGTTCCTTTAAGGCGGTGATCCCCCGCTGCACTGAAAACTCCCTTTGTCAACTTTTGGCCTGTTTACTCTCTCACACACACACAAAAAAAATCTAACGCTCTGCAAAGGCTGTTTGTTCTGAACAGCCCCACTGGAATCAAGTGTGTACACACTTAGCTGTAGTTTCCCAGGTAATATAGCATGGAAGAACCAGCCTCCCAACGCTGGCATTGTTGTGGCTGACCTGGCCAGGATAGAGATGGGTCAGTAGTCGGAGGAGGGCCATGTGAATGCCCAGTGGAGCCAATCCAGTATTCACATAGCCCAGTTCTACTCCCATGCAAGAAAGTAGCAGAGGTGGCTCTGGTGTCAAGAGAGTGGCTCCACTCCACAGCTTGTACCACCATGGCACTGTAGAGCTCTATGTTCCGCTTATCCTCATGCATCTACTAATAATGAGTTCAGGAGGCTCCCGTTTAAAATGTCCCTTCACAAAGCATTTTGGGTCTATGTTCTAAAAACAATTTCATCTTAGCTGAGCCTCAGATACTGGATTAGAGAGGGGGGACTTTATTAGTGCACTCCTACCAAACTAAATACAAAACTGAAACGATTCAGGACTTCTTAGCTTCCTTTCTGTGATGGTGTCACCCAGAACTTGTTCCACACAAAAAACATTTCTAAATCACATTAGTTCCTTCTTGCATCACAGTCTCCTCCTCCAGTTTTACTGTCATCCGGTGATTTTTTTTATTTTTAAAGGTGCTGGTACTCCGTATCCTTTGAGTAACCCCCCCCTCCCCCAAAGCACTGTGTCATTCTCTGTGATAAACTGCCCGCGGCCTTCACTTTATCGCTTGGACTCCTCCCTTACATTATTCAGTTCATTCTCCCTTTCAGCCAGTTTTGCCTTGACCTGTCTCCAGGAATACCCACACATTGAAATTACCTTCCCCCCCCCCTTTTCTTTTAGATTCCTCATGAAAACACACCTTTTCCAGGAAGCCTATAAAGAAAACACTCACATTACAGTAGCAAGACACATTGCTTCAACTCATCAGTGCATAAAATTAACGTTGCTGTTGCATTTTAGGTTTTTTTGGGGGGGGGTCCTTGTTTGTTTGTTACTGGTGTTGTGTGATCAACCTGCAACCAATAAAACTGCATGAGGTGGGATACTCCTTAATTAATTGTGCGTACTTTTATGTGGGAGGAAGAGGAACACCTCAGGGTCTACTTCTGAGTAAATGTGCACAGGATCGGTCTGCTTAGTAATAATTAATTTGAAGACTAACACAGCTGTTGGGAAACTAGTAATTCCCATTTCTGAACACTTGCCAGAGGCAAGATTAGTTTCACATTTGTTTGAAATCCAACACATCTTTGTGTTAGCAAAAGCTTCAAATGCATTCCTCTTTGTTCCTTGAGGTCAATGTGGAGGCAAGAAGGAAGCAAAATGTTCTCAACTAGATCGTTTTTCAGCTGCTTGGGACCTCTACACAGTAATGCCCCTGCTTTTTTAATCCTTTGGCAAAAGGATTTATTCTGAGGCTGTGTATATGTTACCGCTGACTCTGGCTGCAGAGCGCTCCCACCTCTGCTGTTTTGAAGAAGACATTAGCCGCAATGCATAGGTGTTGTGTAGTTTCTTGAGAAATGGCCCCATCTGTTGCTCTTTCGCTCTTACCATCTTCCATCCAATGAGCAAACGGAAGCCATGGTTAAACTGAAGTGGTGTGTACATTTCAGGAAGCTGTTGCACATGCAACAGGTGACAGCACATGCAAATGACAGCTTCGATGAATTGGAATTTGGCACTGGGGAACGAATCAGGTAATGGGCACCAGGTGAAGACATCCACGCCTCCTCTCTAGTGTGAAGAACAACATAAAAAGTGACTTGAAACGCTGGGGTGGCTGGGGGTGGGGGTGGGGATAGTGGCAGGAATGACCTCACTGCTTTTTGAGCTGCTGGTGTGTACATAACCTGAGTTTAGATGTGAGTGGCAAATAGCTGAATCAGCCATTTACACAACTCTGTTCAGAGTCCTGACAAAAAAACAAAACTGTGAGCAAATAACTACCTGCAGAAAATGTACCTTGATCAGGCTGTGAACTTTGTGTGATGTTAGATAACTAGCTTAAGGGCAACTACAAAAAGGGGATAATGGGAATTATTTGATACTGAGCTCCCTCCATTCTGTTTAACTGAATCCCTTCAAATTACCTTTTTTTGAGTGCTTCTAGGTGAAGATTCCCCCCCCCCCGAAGATCTCAAGCATACTTTATGAACACACCCAATACTTGCCAAGATTAGCAGAGTCAAAATAACTGCCACAATCCAAAAGAGGAATTGCACAGGGCTTGTTGCATAACAGACACACATTCATAGAACTTTTGTACTGCTTCTCCGCCCCTCTCTATTCAGAGAACTTCTTGCCAAACATCTTAGCTGTGTGAAAGCTTGCTGTTTTCTGAGCTTGGTTAACTAGGGGAAAACATTAACACTGATGCAAAATCAAAGCCAAAATATACCATATTAACTTTGCAATCCTATGCAATGTTCACACGGCAGCAAGTCTCATTTTGTTGAAAAGGGCTTTCTCCCTAGTTAGTATGTTTATACTGAAGGCTAAGCCAGATAAATTCTAGATATTTTTTCTTCAGCATGTGCTGTGTGAATAATATTTCTTTTTGTTCCACTTCTGCTTAACATGATTCACCTAGAGCACAGAGAAAGAGAGAGGTTAAAGATGGCAATGAAATGTAATCTACCAGCACTGTGCAACCACAACATTTAATTATAATCTGAACAACAGAAAGCCTCATACATTTTTCAAGCAAAGCTAGAACAAACATATGCTAGGACGCCATATCTTGAAATGGTGTGGGTGTACTTTTAAATTAATCACTGGGTCATTTCCAGATAAGATTCCTCAAAAGCACAAAGACAGATTTTGTGTGCTGTACAAAAAGTTACACCCAGAATACGATGATAGTTTCACAAAACCATTGGCCCAAGTCAGCGATTACATTTGATGTATGTAGGCCTGGTCTTTCAGACCTGCATAATCCACTTTGACTCTCTTATGGGGTGGGGTGCAGAATTGCATATCCCTTTTCACACTATGTCTCTGGGGCTTCTCTCCATCTCCATTCATCCTTCATTCTCCAACTTGGTGCCCTCCAGGTATTTTAGTGAATGACAAATATCACTCATTGGCCATTCTGGCTGGCATCAATTAGAATTGTAATGTGAAACATCTAAAAGGGCACCAGGTTAAGGAAGGCTAGTTTAGAATCTAAAGTTTTAGGGCAGGGGTAGCCAGTGTAGTGCTGCAGAGCAACATAGGAAGTGACATTATACTGAGCTGACACTGACTGGCAGCAGCTTTCTGGGATTTCAGAAAGTGGCATTCCCAGCCCTGCCTTCAGTTGCTGCTGATTAAACCTGAGACCTTCTGCCATTGATCTACTGCCCTTTCCCACAGCTGATGTGGAATAATAATAATAATAATAATAATAATAATAATAATTTATTTATACCCCGCCCTTCCCAGTTTAAA